CCGCAATTGGACATCACCTCATACTTGTTAGAATGGCTAGTATCAAAAAGACAAGAAATGACAAGTGTTGAAGAGGATGTGGAGGAAAGGAGTTTATTTTTGTGTCTGGTGTAAGACAGCATTCCAGTTTCGTTCTTTTGCATGTAGCTGTCCAGTTTTACCAACACCATTTATTGAAGACTGTCTTTTACCCATTGTATATTCTTGCCTCGCTTGACAACTGTACACTAATGGTGGGAAAATATATTGTTGCACTATGGAAACAGTATGGATATTCTTCAAAAAATTAAAAGTATATCTACGATATGATCTATTTATTCCACTTCTGGCTATTTATCCAAAGAAAACAAAAACACTAATTTAAAAAGATCTGTGTACCCCTCTGTTCATTGCAGCATTATTTACAATAGTCAAGATATGAAAGCAACCTATTTACCCATCAGTAGATGAATGGATGAGGGTGTGGTATAGAGATAAAATGATACATACATACATACATACATACATACATACATACATACACGTATTGCAATACTAATCAGAAATCAAGAAGAATTAAATTCTCCCTTTTGCGACAACATGGATGGACCCTGAGGGTATTATGCTAAGTGAAATAAGTCTGATGCAGAAAGACAGATACCATATGATTTCACGATGTTGGATCTAAAATATAAAGCAAACAAACAAATCAATACAAAAAGTAATCCATAGATACAGAGAACCAATTGATAGCTACCTGAGGGGACATGGGTTGGGGCATTAGACAAAATGGGTTCAATTGTATCTTGATAGATGTTAACTAGACTTTTGCTGATGATCATTTTGTAGTGCACACAGATGTTGAGCTATAATGCTGTACATCTGAAATTTATATACTATTATGTACCAATTTTAACTCAGGGAAAAAAGCTATAAATTAATGAAAATGAAAACACAACGTACCAAAATAAAACAAAAAATTGTTACACCGAAAATATTAACAAAAATTTTAATCTATGTTGACTAATAAAAAAATTCTCAAAGTACTAAAATAAGAAATGAAAATGGAAACATTATCACCAATTTTACAAAAATAAAAGTCACTACAGGATAGTAGTATTAACAATTGTACACCAACAAATTTGATAACTTAGATGGAATGGATGAATTCTTAGAAACATAAAATCTACCAAGAATAAGTCATGAGGAAATAGGAAAATATGAATAGATCCATAAATAAGGACATAATTAGTAAATAGTAAAAAGAATGAATCAGTAATAAAAATATCTCCCAATAAAGAAAAGCCCTGGATCTTGCTTTACTCATGAATTCTACCAAGCATTTAAAGAAATAACACCAATCCTTCACAAACTCTTCCGAAAAGTTGAAGAGAAGGGAATACTTCCTAACACATTACATGAGTATAGTATTACCCTAATAAACAAAGCCAAAGACACTACAAGAAAGGAAAATTACAGACTAATATCTTTTATAAACATAGATGCAAAAATCCTCTACAAAATACCAGCAAACACAATCCAAGAGCATATTAAAAGTACTACAAACTATGACCAAGTGAGATTCATTCAGAGCATGCAAGGATAGTTCTACATATAAAACAAATGAATATAATATAGCATATTAGCAAAACAAGGTAGAAAAATATATGATCATCTCAATTGACGCTGAAAAAGCATTTGAAAACATTCAAAACCCTTTTGTGTTAAAAAATACTCAACAAACTAGAAGTAGAAGGAAACTATGCCAGCATAATAAAAGGCATGTATGAAAAACCCGCAAATAACATCACACACAACTGTGAAAGATGTAAAGATTTTCCTCTGAGATTGGGAACAAGAAATAGATGCCCACTTTCACCACTTTTATTCAATGTAGCATTGGAAAATCTAGCCACAGTAATTATTAAAGTAAAAGGAAAAAATGCATCCAAATTGAAAAGGAAAAACTAAAATTACCACTGTTCATAGATAATGTGAAATTAAATGCAGAAACCCTAAAGATTCTGCAAATATCTGTGAGAATTAAATAATTCAGCAAAGTAGCAGGATACAAATTCAACCTACAAAAATAACTTGTGTTTATATACACTAAGAATTAAAAATCCAAAAAGAAAATTGTGAAAACAATTCCAATTACAACAGCAATAAAAAGAATGAAATATTTAAAAATGAACTTAAGTAAGGAGGCATACAATGAAAATTACAAAACATTGCTGGAAAAAATGAAAGAAGACATAAATAAATGGAAAGACACACCATGATCATGAACTGGAAGATTTAATATTGTTAAGGTGTCAATACTACCAAAAACAATCTATTGCAATATGTATCAAAATCCCAGCACGCCTTTTTTAGCAAAATAGAAAAACATATCCTAAAATTCATATGGAATCTCAGGGGACACTGAATAGCCAGAATCATGTTAAAAAAGAACAAATTTGGAGGACTCACATTTCCTTGTTTCCAAATTTAGTACAAAGCTACAGTAATCAAAACAGTGTGATACTAGCAAAAAGACGGACATATGGATGAATAGAATAAAATGAACCCAGCAATGAACCTTCACATATATTTCCAAATTATTTTCAAAAATGGTTCCAAGATCATTCAGTGGGAGAAAGGACAGCCATTTCAACAAATATTTCTGGGGAAACTGGATATACACATGCAAAAGAAAGAAGTTGCATCCTTATCTAACATTGTATTCAAAATTTAGCTCAAAGTGGATGAAATACTAAAACAAGAAACTCTGAGTATAAAACCCTTAGAAGATAACATAAGGCAAAAAATCCATGACATCGGATTGGTCAGTGGTTCCTTTGATATGACACCAAAAAACAGGCAATGAAAGAAAAAGTAGACATTTAGATTTAATCCAAATTAAAAACCCTTATGCATCAAAGGATATAATAAACAGACTAAAAAGGTAACTCATGTAATAGAAAATACTTTTAAATTATGTTTCTGAGAAGGGATTAATATCTAAGATACATAGAGAACACCTAAAAACGTAAAACAATCTTTTTGAAAAACAGGCAAAGGCTTGAAGAGCCATTTCCTCTGAAGAATATATACATAAATGGCCAATAAATAGATGAAAAGATGTTCAGAATCACTAATATTAGGTAAATGAAAAATCAAAGCCATAAGTTACCACTTCACACTTACTAGAATGGTTATTATAAAAATAACAGAAAAAAACAAGTGGTGGTGGTAATGTGGAGATATTGCACCCTTTGTGCATTGCTGAAGGGAATGTTAAATGGCAGCCTCTATGGAAAACAGTATGGAAGCTCATCAAAAAATAAAAATAGAATTGCCATATGTATACACCCAAAAAATTGAAAATAGGGACATAGAGATATCTTTACACCCATTTTTATAGCAGCATTATGGTAGAAACAGCATAAATGTATTTCAGTGGATGAAGGGTTACATAAAATGCAGATATACATAAAATGGTATATTTTTCAGATTTTAAAAGGAGGGAAATTCTGACACATGCTACATCATGAATTAACCTTGAAAACAATATGCTAATTTAAATAAACCAGTCACAAAAGAATAAATACTGCACAAATACAAATGAGGTATTTAGAATAGTCAAATTCATTGACAGAAAGTAGAATGGTGGTTGCCAAAGGGTATGGGAGGAGGGAATGGGGAGTTATTTTTTAAGGGGTACAGAGTTTCAGTTTTACAAGGTGGGGAAACTTCTGGAGATGGATAGTGGTGATGGTTGTACAACATGGAAGTACTTAATGACACTGAAATATACACTTAAAAATGGTTGAAGTGCTAAACTTTATGTTATGTATATTTTAACACAATTAAAAATTAAGTATTTAAAGTAACATCTTTTCTTAAATACAGAAAAGTATCTGAAATAAAACTAAATGGCTCAGGTAACTCCTGTTGACAAAATGGTAAGGCATGTATATTTAGGAAATTCAAACAGTACATAAAAAAATTTTTTTAATTCATAATTTTCTCTTCTCTACTGTTAAAAAAATAGAAAAGTGCATCATCTTTGGTGTGTCTCTGCCGACTGAAGATACACCAGTGAGTTTTTATTGCTGGAGTTTCCAAGCAGACGCTTATAAACTACCAGTAAAGGAAATGGACAGGTAACACACATATTAAGATAGACAAGGAATGGAGAACTGACTCCAAAATAATTTATAATTTTTTATTAAGAAATGATTCACACATCATAGAATTCACCTTTTTAAGGTGTAAAATTGAATGGTTTTTAGTCTTTCCAGGGAATTATGCAAATGTCACCACAAATCAATTTACAAACATTTCTATCACCCCAAAAATAAATATGTACTCATTATTAATCATACTCTAATTCCCCATAAGACAATAATATATTTCTGTATCAGTAGATTTACTTACTCTGGCCATTTAAAATAAAATGAATCACACAATATGTGGACCTTCTTTCACTTATGTTTTTAAGTTTCATTCATGTTGTATCATGTATCAGTATTATCAGTATTTCTTCCCTTTGTATGGACGTACCATATTTTATGTATCCATTCATTACTTGATTATTATCTGTTCGAGATCTGGACTGTTTTCACATTTCAGATATTGTGATTAATGGTGCTCTGAACATTAATGTGCACATTTTTATGTAAATATATGTTTTGAATTCTCTTGTGTGTATTCTTAGGAATGTAATTGTTTGGTCATATGTTAAGCCTAGTTTAATTTTTTTACAAACTTCTAAGCTTTTCCTAGAAGCTGAATCATTTTACAATCCCAAAATTAGTGTAAGAAGCTTTTCATTTCTCTACAGCCTTGTGAACATTTGTTATTGTTGCGTGTCGCTCGGTTTCTCGGGTGAAATGAGAGAACAAAAAACACAGACAACACAGACAAATAGATAGACAATGGCTGCAGCCCCAATGTGGCCCAGCACCTTTATTTTTATACTGCCTTTCTCGGACCTCAACCAAGTGCTATACTCATCTTTGCCTTCTCAGGGAGGACAGGCCAGAGCACCTTGTTGATTTTCTTAGTCTGCCAGTAAGCAGGGGCAGTGTTTTCACACATCCTCAAGGTCTCCCTGTTTTCAGAGTGAGGCTTCCTGGCTCGTTTTCGAGGACAAGATATGCTTCAGTGGGCAGATAACATCCAAGGACTGCACCAGTTGTTCTCAAGCTGGTGCTTCCCTATGCTGCATTCAGAAGTGAGGGAAGGTGCTTTCCCATTCTGTGTTCAGATATGTGAGAAGACAAAGGCTGTCCCCATCATCTCCTCCTTTCCTTAAATATTTCATGGCTGAGATTGAACGTGTCGTAAGACAGACATAACTTGAGTGTTTTGCTTCATGGTTTGTTTTCTTCGTTTCTACCAGCAGTAGACTAGGAGACAGAAACATATTAGTAAGAACAAAGTTCCTGAGCTAAGCATAGAAGAAGCAAAAGCTCCTTTAATCTGTGATATAGGGTTAAGGTCAGAGAGTTCTTGAGCTATTTCTTTAAAAATATCTTCTCTACTTAATTTGGGAAGTTCTTGGGCAAAGGTATTGGCTATTTGGGTTTCAAGTTCTCATATTCTCGCAGATGTGTTTTTGTACTCCCAAAGATCTTTTATCTTAGCCCATTCTGATGAGGTATTATATGGGATTGGGGTTATACAGAACTGAGTGGAATTCCAATCACATCTCAGTGAGGACTGCGTAGTAAGTACGCGAATCTGGTCTCCAAGCCAGGAGACTGTTTGTTTAAGATTTTGAATATCAGTTTCCAATTGAATATCAATATCATGTTGTTGCTGACATAATAAGTGGGAATTGTAATGCCAATTTTGCACAAAATCTGCTGTTTGGAGACTTTCTGGTAGAGCTACTCCTGCTACTGCTGCTGTAGAAGCAATAGCTGTAAGTCCTAAAACTACAGTTATAAGTGTTCCTACAAAGCACTTTGTTCTATGAGTGAGGTCAGTGACTAATTGGTATAATTGTGTTATTCCAGCAGACTCGCTCCAAGGGTGGGTAAGATTCACTGGGAGCCAGAGTTCTGTCCATGCGTGATGCAAATAAAGGCTCTGTGAATTAGAATTTAAAGTTAGAGAGGCATTGATGCAAATAAAAAGCTGACATTCCGAGGTGCAATTTAGAGATCCATTTCTGGGTGCCAAGTCATGGAGCCCTTTAGAAGTAGAAAAGGGAATCGTACACATGCTTGGATATTTTTAGTGATGTTAGTATGTAAATGTACTTTAATGGAGTTATTCTCATAGGACATATTTCCTCTCCACGTCTTAATAGGTTCAAGGGCTGCAAGCAGTTTCCAAATATGTCCTTGAACCATTACCGATCCACTCAAATGAGTCAGAGGGGGAGTCAACCCTGCCTCATGCCAAATAATAGTTTCATTAGCCTGGGCAGAGATGCTGTGATTTTCTTTATGCCACTTGAGAGGTATTTGGGAAAATTTTGTTCTAAAATCACCATGAGGACTCCAATCAATAATGGAGAAAGATTGATTATTTGCTTCTGTACTGGATATTAATATTTTTGGGTTATGCCCTCTACATCGGGTCCATGTAAAATGAGAAATCTCAGCATTTACTTCAGGAATTGGGCACAAAGAGACAAGCATAGGGGGGTGTCTCTCTGTGGTACTATTTCTTACTTTAAAGTTTTTCACAGACAGCATAAAGGTGCTCAAGGTGAGATGAGAATGATTATATCTGAGACCCCAGGCTTTGTGTGACGTTTGAAGACAATGAGATCCCTTTCCAATGCATAGGGGGCTACCCTCTGCCCCTATGGGGAAAGAACAGAATTGTTATTTCCTCCAGCAGATTTCCCTTCTTTGTTGGGATGTGCAGGCAAAAGAGGGTCAAAAGGTCCTGACATCTATTGTGTTCCATTCGTATACACTAAAACCTCAGGGTATCCCCATGAGACAGCCTGGAAAAGAGGGGGTTGGGGATATAGGCCCAGTATACATAATCTGCACCTACCTGACATGTGACAATGGCCATCATCACCAAAAAGAGAGACAAAGGTGCCAACGTTTGGCCTGCTTGTAGGACAACACGTTCGCTTTCTTGGGTGAGTTTCTTTAGCTATCCCCAGGTATGGACTGAAGCCTGTCTAGATCCCCTAGTATGGATCTGAGCCCTGACATTGAGGTCTTGGAATTCTCGTAGAAAATCTTCATCCTTACTATTTTTGGTCATGGCGCAATTTCAGGCATTTGCTAGGTAGCCAACCACACTGGTTTCCTGTGAAAACATAGCATAACCACATCCCCAATGTAGAACATGTCTAGGGAGCCATTGTCTTTCCAGAGTCCTGTAGAAGATGGGTTTGTAAACAGAAGAATGAGCAGTTGAGGTGGTAAAATGTGTTTCTGTCACCAAACCTTTAGGAAGAGCGTCCCAGTGATTCAAAAAATTGAGAGTAAATAAAACTTTGTATATAAGCGTCCGTGTGGGTCATGATAATAAGGGAATCTCCTGTATCTCCCCCCCTTGTGTTTATGTAAATAAACTTTAAATGTCCTAATGGCACGTTCGATAATGGCTTGACCTTGACTATTAAAAGGGATGCCAGTAATGTGTTGAATATGATAATGTTATAGGAAAGTGGATAACTTTTTGGAGGTGTATGCAGGGGCATTATCAGTCTTCAAAGTTTGGGGGAGACCCATAACAGCAAAGCAGGATAACAAATGCTGAATAACTGTATTGGCTTTTTCAGAAGATGAAGGGGTCGCCCACTGAAAATGAGAAAGATGTCAATGGTGTGGTAAACGTAGCGCAGCTTCCCGAAGGGAGGGAATTGAAAAACATCTATTTGCCAGATACGGTTCCTGTAAAGACCACGGGGATTACATCTTTGTGGGAGAGAAGGGGTGTTAAGGGAGTAAGGGAGTGACAAATAGAACAAGAGTAGAGGATGTCACGGGCCTGCTGGCATGTGATATGGAACTGAGAATGTAGACCACGGGCATTAGTATGATGCAGTGCATGTTCTTCTGTTGATGCTTGGATAGTACCTATTAGGAGAGAATTAATTTTAGCATTTCTGTAACTAAGAGGACCTGGAAGAGAAGAATGTGAACGAACATAAGTGATGAAAAAAGGTGAAAGGTAATGGAGAATAAGTGCCTGGACAGCGCAGAAGAGTGATAGGAGGGAAGTGAAGTAGGTTGTGAAGCAAATGAGGAAGGCAAGTGTGCAAAAGGCAACAGGGATTCAGTATACACAGCATATTGAGAGTCACTGACAATATTAAAAAGGCAGGGAAAATCTTGAAGAGCTAAGAAAATAGCAAACAATTCGCTCTGTTGTACAGAGGCATATGGAGAGAAAACGATTTTCTATTTATTCTCTGACCAATACCTAGCTTTTCCAGAACTGGAGGCGTCAGTGAAAAGCGTAGGGCCTGCTACTGGGATTGAAGCGATGATGGTGGGAGGCACTATTGGGCGAATTTTTAAAAAGGAAAATAGTTTGTTAGGAGGATAATGATTATCAAATGTACTTTTAAAATCAGCACAGGCAATCTGCCAATTGAGGTGGAACTCAAGACACTGAGAAATTTCTGAGGAGGATAAATTAGAAATAATTTGGGAAGGATCGACACCTTGAAGTTGATGACACCGATGAGGACCTTTAAGAATTAAGCAAGCAATTTTATCAAGATATGTCACCAGTCGTTTTTTTTTTTTTGCTTGTTAGTTAAAAAAAAAATCTACTCTAAAAGACCGTGAGGTTGGCCTGGCACAGCAGAAGGTGAGTGAGGAGTACGGAAAATGTACAGAGAGAGGATGTGAAGGGTCTAGGCGTGAAAGAAAGGGTTCTGAAATACGTCGTCAATAAATTGGAGTTCTTGTTCAGCCAAAGGGGATAAGGAGAGAGGGCTATCCAACTGTGGAGCGCCCTCTAGAGTGTGAAATATATGCTGCAAGGCATAGGTAGGGATGCCTAAGGAGGGACATAACCTATTAATGTCACCTAAGAGTTTCTGGAAAACATTTAAGGTCTTTAAGTTGTCACATCTAATCGAAATCCTTTGAGGTTTGATTTGTGTATCTCCTAGAATGTATCCAAGATAATGTATAGGAAGGCTTTGCTGTACTTTTTCAGGAGCTATACATAAGCTATATAAGAACAATTGAGATAGGAGATATTGATAAGCTTCCTGTTGCACAGATACAGTAGGTGCAGCTAAAAGAATATCATCTATGTAATGATATAAGAGAATTTGAGGATATTGTTGTCTAACTGGCGAGAGGGCTCTGTCTACAAGTTCTTGGCATAAGGTTGGGCTATTGAGCATACCTTGAGGCAGGACATGCCACTGGTATCTGGCTGTGGGTCTATCATGGTTATATTTAGGAACAGTAAAAGCGAATTTTTCTTTATCTGAATCCTGTAGAGGGATGGTAAAAAAACAGTCTTTCAAATAAATCACTAATAAGGGCCAATCTTTAGGGGCCATAGAGGGGCAGGGCACTCCTAATTGTAGAGGAACCAAAGGCTTAATGCATTTATTAACTTCTCTTAAAACTGTCAGAAGCCTCCAGTTGCCACTAGCCTTTTTATAACAAATACTGGTGAATTCCAAGAGGAGACAGACGGTTCAATATGTTGAAGTTCTAACTGTTCCTCAACTAAAGATTTTAGAGCCTCGAGTTTATGTTTTGGAAGCCGCCACTGCTCCACCCAGACAGGTTTATGTTGGACCCATTTTAGCTGCAATGCTCGAGGAAACAGGTGGGCAGTGGCCTCTAATTTAAAGGTTTTTGTGTGAGATTTATTTGTGGTGGATTAGCATGGGTGAAAGGATCAAATTCCATATTCATCATGATATTCTTGGTTTGTGGGGACAAAGATGGAATATTACAAAAAGTTCCAAATTGTTTAAGTACATCTCGGCCCCATAGATTGATGGAGATAACCAGTATATAAAAAGAGACAACAGCCGTTTGTCCCTCTGACCCGACGCATGTCATGGACAAGGAGCTTTGAAAGACATCTCGGGTACTTCCCAACCCAGATAAGGTAATTTGTACTTTTTGTTTGTCCCATCATGTAGGCCATGCACTTAAAGAAATAATGGAGACATCAGCTCCAGTGTCAATTAGTTCTAAAAATTCTATATCTTGTATTTTTAAGATCTGAGTGGGTCTCTGATCATTAATTAATGTTTCTCAAAAAATTTTCTTCCCTGTACTACCGAAACCACCACTTCGGGACTGTTCTATTTTTGGGAAGGTTACATAAGGAAGAAGCAACAATTGGGCTATACAATCTCCAGGGAGAGCGTGTAATGTTTGGGGAACACTTGCCATAATTTTAATTTCTCTGTTATAATCTTCATCTATCACTCCTACATGTACAGATAATCCCTCCATGGTGGAACTGCTACGGCCGATAATCAGTCCCACAGTCTTTGGAGGGATGGGACCAAACACACCCATTGATAATTTGTGCACTCCTCCACTGGGGAATAAAGTATAATTTTAAGCAGAACTGAGAGCACTGCCAAGGGTAGCTGCCCAAAGACCGGACACTGTTAATTTGGAAAATTGCTCATTTAGTATGCCACCCCATTGCTGACAGGGAAAGAAGGAGATCCTGTATTGCTGTTCTGCGGGGCCCAGGACCGAGGCCCCTCCCCACCCTTTCCTGGTGGGGGGAGAGGGTTGCCATCCCTATCAGTATGGGATTTACATGTCTGAGTCCAATGCCTCCCTCTCCCGCAGCGTTTACCGAACTCTGAAGGCATCTTAGACCCTTTTTGTGAGAAATCGTATTTTCTGTTTTTGCATTCTCTACTTATATGTCCAAGTTTTCCACAATTAAAACAAGTTAATTTAGGAGTACTTTTTTGAAGTGCAGCAACAAGAATCTCAGCTTGATAAGCAACTCCGCCTATGCCAGCACAGGCTCTTATAAATTCATCAACCGGAACGCCGCTAGCTTTTAACGGGCAAAGTGCTTTCTGACACTCCGGGTTTGCATTTTCAAATGCTAATACTTGAAGAAGCATGTTAGCTCCAGGACTATCTCCTAAGCTGTGGAAAACAGCATCCTTTAAATGAGAAAAAAAATCAGTATATGGTTCCAAAGGACCTTGGGTGGTTTTTGTGAATGAAGGCGCTATCTTTCCTGAGATTTCAATTTTCATCTATGATTTTAACACTATGGACTTCACCTGGGTTAAGGCCAAATCACTAAGTCCAGCTTGAGCTTCCAAGGAGGCAATGAGGCCCCGTCCCGGTGAGTTCAGACTCCACCAGAGCAGGAGGTTGCCGAGTGGCATTCCTCCTAGCTTGTGAGGTAGCTTCCTCATACCACCAACTTTTTAACTGTAACCATTGCGACACTTCCAAAAGTTTTACAGATATTTTCCCAATCCAAGGGTAGCAGCAAATTTTCTGCAGAAACAGTGTTAAGTAGGCCTAATACAAAAGGAGACTGGGGGCCATAATTTCGGATGGTTTGTTTTAACTCTTTCAGGACCTTATATGTTACTGGGAGATAATTTACCTCAAGTCCTCCTTGAGGGAATTGGGCATTAGGAGCAATCACTAGTCTAGTGATTCGGAAGACAGAAAAGCTAGTGGGTGTATGATGAGAGGCGGAAAGAGAGACAAAATCAGCAGATGGTGGGAGATCTTCATCACAAGCACCAGGACCAGGTCCCTTGGGAATGGTAAAGGAGCGTCCAGCAGCCGGTAGCGGCAGCGGAGGCAGGAGAAAAGTGGGAAAGGCAGAAAGCAGCCTAGCAGAGTGTGAAAGCTTGGGGGGAGGGGCAGCTACTGTCAATTTCTCTATAAACTCTGTCAATATACAAGTGAGCTTCTGAATGAGAGGCAGAAAATACACTAGAACTATTGTCTTCCTGATCAGACTCAACCCCACCTTCATCAGGAGGAGGTGACAAACTCAAAACCTCTGGAACATCTTCATATAGAGGACTATGCTTATCTGAGACAGCAGAGCAAGCATCTCTCTCAGAGTCCGTTTCTAACAGCTGCAAAGCTTGAGAAATAGTGCTACAAAGGGACCCACAAAGTAGCAGGTATTATGTCCCCTTACTGATGAGCCTGGCGAAGAGTTTTAACAACTTTACGCCAGGCTTCATTATTTAGTTGCACCTCTGACTGAAAGCGAAACCAAAAGCAGTGTTTCCGGACCCTGGTAAATAAATCTTTCAACAGCTCGTCTTTGGCAGTTACGCCAAGAGAATGCAGAAGTCCCTGTATGAGCTGTTCATACTCCCTCTCAAGAGAGGGAAAGTTCCCCATTAGTACTCCATGTTTCTTCCAGAAGTCCAACTATCACGGTTGTCGGCTTACCTGAAGTCGGTCCCTTTCTGAGCCCCAAGTCACCCCTGGCATCCTCTCTCCAATTTCTTCAGGGTTGTGAGGTCCTGCCTCACAGTGGGGTCGTCCACTCGTGCCCCACGTTGGGCGCCAGATGTTGCGTGCCGCTCTGTTTCTCAGGTGAAATGAGAGAACAAAAAACAGACAACCCAGACAAATAGACAGACAATGGCTACAGCCCTGATGTGGCACAGCACCTTTATTTTTATACTGCCTTTCTCGGACCTCAACCAAGTGCTATACTCATCTTTGCCTTCTCAGGGAGGACAGGCCAGAGCACCTTGTTGATTTTCTTAGTCTGCCAGTAAGCAGGGGCAGTGTTTTCACACATCCTCAAGGTCTCCCTGTTTTCAGAGTGAGGCTTCCTGGCTCGTTTTCGAGGACAAGATATGCTTCAGTGGGCAGATAACATCCAAGGACTGCACCAGTTGTTCTCAAGCTGGTGCTTCCCTATGCTGCATTCAGAAGTGGGGGAAGGTGCTTTCCCATTCTGTGTTCAGACATGTGAGAAGACAAAGGCTGTCCCCATCAGTTATTATCTATCTTTATTATAATCATCCTATTTTGGTGAATATAAAGTAGTAACTTATTTTTATTTTGAATTGAATTTTCCCCAGTGAGTGTTTTGAAAATCCATTCATTTTTCACTAGCCATTTGCAAATCTTTCTTAGAGAAATATCTATTCAAATCATTTACCCATTTTAAAAATGCAGTCATTTGTCTTTTACTATTGATTTGTAAGAGTTCTTCATATATTCAGGATGTTAGAACTTATCACATATATGATTTTCAAATATTTTCCCCTATTCTGTGCTTTGTCATTATACTTTTGTGATAGTGTCCTTTGAATAACAATAGGGTTTAATTTTGATGATATTGAATTTATCTATTCATTCTTTGGTTGTTTGTGGTTTAAGAGTCATTTGTTTTTATTTTTTACTCAAGAACAATCAATATACAATCCTATACTGGTTTCAAATATACAAGAGTGTTTCATTAGTTACCCATATGATTAAATCCTCACCACAACTAATGCAGTTGTAATCTGTCAACATAGGAAGATGTTACAGAATCACTGGCTATATTCTTGATGCTATACTACTATCCTTGAGACCAACTTATGATAGAGAATTTTTGTGCCTCTTTATCCCCCACACCATCCCACCCATCCTAGCCTCTCTCCCATGGTAACTACCAGTCACTTCTCAGTGACTATGAGTCTATTGATGATTTGTTCATTTTCTTTTGCTTTGTTTTTATATTCCACAAATAAGTGAAATTATATAGTATTTATCTCTTTCCACCTGACTTATTTCACATAGCATAATACTCTTAAGATCCATCCATGTTGTTGCAAATGTCAAGATTTCTTTTTAATGGCTGAATAATATTCTACTGTGTATATGCACCACTTCTTCATCTATTCACCTATTGATGGACACTTAGGTTGCTTCCATATCATCACTATTGTAAATAATGTGACAATAAACACAGGGGTGCATATATCTTTATGAATTAGGGATTTTGTTTACTTCAGCTAAATTTCTAGAAGTGGGATTACTGGGTCAAATGGCATTTCTATTTATAGGTTTTTGTGGAGCCTCCATATTGTTTTCTACAGTGACTACACCAATTGACATTCTCATCAACAATGTGGGAGGGTTCCCATTTCTCCAAATCCTCACCAATACCTTTTATTTCTTGTCTTTTGGATAGTGGCCTAACTGGTGTAAGGTGATACCTCATTGTGGTTTTGATTTACATCTCCCTGATGAATAGCCATGTGGAGCATCTTTTCATGCACCTCTTGGCCATCTGTATTTCTCTGGAGAAGTGTCTATTCAGTTACTTTGCCCATTTTTAATTGGGTTGTTTATTTGGTGTTGAGGCATGTGAGTTCTTTATGTATTTTAGATGTTAACTTCTTATTGGATGAATCATTTATGAATATATTCTCCCATAAAGTAGATTAATTACCTTTGTGTTCTGCTGATGGTGTTCTTTCCTGTACAGAGCTTTTTAATTTGATGTAGTCCCACTTGTTCATTTTTTATTTCATTTTCCTTGTCCAAGGAGATGTGCCAGGAAAATATTGCTCATACTTATGTTCAAGAGGTTATTGTCTATGTTTTCTTCTAAGAGTTTTATTGTATCCTGTATTATATTCAGGCCTTTGATCCATTTTGGGTTTATGCTTGTGTATGGAGCTAGACAGTAATACAGTTTCATTCTCTTGGATGTAGCTGTCAGTTATTGAAGAGGCTATCTTTCCCATGGTATATTCATGGCTCCTTTATCATATATTAATTGAACATATATGCATGGGTTTATATCAAGGCTCCATATTCTGTTCCACTAATTTATGGGTCTATTCTTGTGCTAGTACCATACTGTTTTGATTACCATACCTTTGTAGTATAGCTTGAAGTAAGGAAGCGTAATACTTCCAGCTTTCTTCTTTCTCATGATTTGGCTATTGGGTTTTTTTGTGTTTCTATACAAAATTTAGAATTATTTATCCTAGTTCATTGAAAAATGCTGTTGGTATATTGATAGGGTTTACATTGAAACTGCAAATGGCTCTGGGGAGGATGGCCATTTTGACAATATCAATTCTTCCTACCCATGAGCATGGGATAGAATTTCATTTATTTGTGTCTTTAATTTCTCTCATGAGTGTTTTCTAGTTTTCAGAGTACAGATCTTTCACCTCCTTGGTTAGGTTTATTCCTAGGTATTTTATTCTTTTTGATGCAATTTCAAATGAATTGTTCTGATTTCTCTTTCTGCTAGTTTGTTGTTAGTATATAGGAATGCAACATATTTCTGTGTATTAATTCTTTATCCTGCAAATTTGCTGAACCAGTTGTTGGCTATAATAATTTTTTGATGGACTATTTTTTATTTTTCTATGTATAATATCATGTCATCTGCAAATAGTGATAGTTAAAATTTTTCCTTCTCAATTTGGATAGCTTTTGTACCTTTTTCTTTTCTTATTAGTGTGCCTACAAAATTCAGTGCACTATGTTGAATAAAACTAATGAGAGTGTACATGCTTGTCCTGTTTCTGATCTTAGAAGAAAAGCTTTCAGTTTTCCATGATAGAGTATGATGTTAGCTGTGGGTTTGTCATATATGGCCTTCATTATGTTGCAATATGTACCCTCTGTACCCATTTTTTTCAGAGCTTTTATCATGAAAAGATGTTGAATTTTGTCAAATGCTTTTTCATCATCTACTGAGATGATCATTTGATTTCTATCCTTCTTTTTGTTAATGTGGTGTATGATATTGTTTGATTTACAAATATACCATACTTGCATTCCTAGAATAAATCCCACCTGGTCATGGTGGATAATGTTTTTTTATGTATTTTTGAATTCAGTTTGCTAATATTTTACTGAGGATTTTTGCATCTATGTTCATCAGTGATATTGTTCTATGATTTTCTATTGTAGTATCTTTGTCTGGTCTTGGTATTAGAGTGATGGTGGTCTCATAGAATGTGTATGGAAATATTCCCTCCTCTTCTACCTTTTAGAATACTTTAAGAAGGATGGATATTAGCCCTTCTTAAAATGTTTGGTAGAATTCAGGCATGAAGCCATCTGGACCTGGGATTTTGTTTGTTGGGAGTTTTTTTATTACTAATTCAAATCATTGCTGGTAATTGATTTGTTCAGATTTTCTGTTTCTTCCTGGGTCAGTTTTGGAATGTTGTATTTTTCTAGGAATTTGTCCATCTCTTGTTTGTACAATCTATTGGCATATAACTTTTCATAGAAGTCTGTAATAATTCTTTCTATCTTTATGGTATTCTTTGTGAATATTGTGTTTATTTTTGTTATTTATTTTGTATGTTTGTGTACTCTTTTTTTCTTGATAAGTCTGGCTAGGGGATTGTTAATTTTCTCAAAGTATCAGCTTCTGGTTTCATTTATTTTTTCTACTGTTTTAATCTCTATTTTATTTATTTATATTGTCATCTTCATAATATCCCCCCTTCTACTAACTTTTGGCTTCATTTGTTCTTCTTTTTCCTAGTTTCTTTAATTGTGAGTTTATACTGTTTATTTGGGATTATTCTTATTTCTTACAGTAGGCCTCTACTTTCTCTTGGAACCATTTTTGTACAACCCTACAAATTTTGGACTGTTTTATTTTTGTTTTTATTTGTCTCCATGTATTACTTGATTTTGTCTCCATGTATTGTTTCAATTTGTTCGTTGATCCATTGATTGTTTAGAAGCATTTTGTTTAGCCTCCATGTGTTTGTATGATTTCTGTTTTCTTTATGTAATTTATTTCTAGTTTCATACCATTGTGGTCTAAGAAGTTGCTTGATAAAGTTTCAATCTTTTTTAATTTATTAAGGCTTGTTTTGTGGCCTAGTATGTGATCTATTCTGTAGAATGTTCCATGTGCCATACAGAAAAATGTGTATCCTGTTGCTTGTATCTGTTAAGTCCATCTGATCTACTATATTTTTCAGTGCCTGTTTCCACATTTCTGTCTGGTTGATCTATTGATGTGAGTGGTGTGTTAAAGTCTCCTAAAATGAATGAGTTGCAATCTATTGCCCCCTTTAAGTCTGTTAGTATTTGTTTTACATATTTAGGTACTCCTATATTGGGTGCATAGATATTTATAATGGTTATATCATCTAGGACTAATCCCATTATCATTTTGTAAATTTTGTAATCTTTCTCTCTTGTTACTTTCTTTGTTTGGAAATCTACCTTGTCTGTATAAGTACTGCTACTCCTGGTTTCTTCTCCCTCTTATTTGCATGAAATGTCTTTTTCCATCCCTTCACTTTTAGTCTGTGTATGTTTTAGAGTCTAAAATGACTTTCTGGTAGGCAGTATATGGATGGGTCTTGTTTATCCATTCTTCCAGTTTGTCTTTTGATTGATGCATTCAGTCCATTTACATTTAAGATAATTATATTTGTAGTGATTGCCATTTTATTGTTTTCTGGTTGGTTTTGTAGTTTCTCTCTGTGCCTTTCTTCCTCTCCATAGTCTTCTCTTATTATTTGATGGTTTTCTTTAGTGTTGTGATTGGATTTCTCTTTTGATTTTTTTGTGTATCTATTATAGATTTTAGGTTTGTGGTTACCATGAAGTTCAAGGATATCTTCCTAACTACATAATAGTCTATATTAAGTTGATGATTGCTCACTTTCAAACACTATCTAAAAGACTCCGTTTTTCTTCTCCTTCCTCCTCTAAATTTTATGTATTAGATGTCATATCCTGCACTTTTTTTGTTTCCTTGACTGATTTTGCGTATATTTGGTTTTACCACTTTTGTTTTATTTTAATATAACTCTTGCTTAGTAATTAATTGATCTACTAACTTTACTGTGGGTTTGATTTCACTGGTGAAAAGTATCTAGGCTTAGGAACAGTTCCACCTACTGGAGTCCCTTTAACAGATCCTCTAATGCCAGT